CCTCTCAAGGATGAGAAGAAGAGCAGGCACTCCTCAGCATCAGTGCACCCGGCCATCTGTGCTGCATTGTGGAAGGTATCAAGGTGGACATTCGGATCCTCCTTTCCAGTGAACTTCTCCACGTCCAGCTTGATCTTCCGCCTCAGTTTTTGCGCATGTACCCTGGCTGAAAAGGGAGATTTGGCCAGGGTATACTTCTTTGTTCCCGCCTTCTCTTCCACTTTTTCCTCCAGGGCACGTAGCTTTCTTGCCACGCTCCCTATCTTGTCCAGATCATCCTCATCGTATGAGAGCCTGGTATACGCCGATGCCCTGGGCTGGCTTTCAGCTTCTTCCTCGTCCAGGTAAATCGTCTCAGATTCCCTAGAATACCGTGATTGGGTAGGACGATTCCCACCAAGTCTTTCTATCCCGCTAGTCCGGCCCATCTCAGGACCAAGACGTAGCTTGGAAGACTTGCGGGGCCCATCCTCTTTGTCTCCTAGGCGTTTTAACGCCGAATCTCGGGTCTTGCTGGGTTTGGCTATAGCCTTACCCTTCCTCCTGCGGGCTGCCTCTTGCTCCGCCTCATCGACCTCGTGGACATTTGAAGGTGCTGCTTCATTCATGGTCCCCGTCAAATTCACCGGGCGTATAGGGACCATCCTAGGGACAAATGTCGACGGGGTCGACACCAGAGGCGGCATGATTGGTGGAGTCATACTAGGATAGGCAAATGACATGAAGCCCCCTGCCTGTTGGATCATGGTCATCACCTGATGATAGCCCTGTAGAGCCTGCGCATTTGCCGGGTCAACAGTAAACTGAGCCCAAGCTGACGGATATGGTGTGAATGCTCCACCAGGCGTTGTTATCGAGCCTGGGAACATTGTTGTTGTTGGCGTAGGAGTAGGGGTTGACATGATCGGGATCATGCCAATCGATCCTACAGTGGTGATTGGGGCAAAGGTCGTCCCCATGCTTGTCATCATCGGTGGGATGGCAGGAGTGCTTTCACTCACAGCCTGGCTTGAAGTAACGTTGTGGTTGCTTGAAGACATGATTGTGGATATTTAGTGGGGGCAAAGTTTTGACCTGGTCGAAAAAACTTTAAAAATCGGTCCCACGGGTGGCGCCAAAAATGATGGTGTAAATATAGCTGGGCGGGTTAACCGGGTTTAACCTGGACACTTGACCCGTAATATAAAACACACAACAAGAACACAAAGTATGACCTAGACCGGGTAAATCTCCTCAGTCCGAATTATATTTCTTACTCTGTCTCAAGAGTGTACTATTTTTAGTGAGAGAAAGAATGGATCCCCTCCTCTATCCAATATCATCATATTT